TATAAATTCTGCCGAGAACCTGTTTTATACGCAATAACTCTCCTCATGCCCCTGTGCTAAAATAGCGACATGTAATACTATAAATACTAATAAAACAAACGGAGCAGGACACTTTGAGAGAGGTCCTAGGGAGTTTTGGTATAAAATACATTGCATAAGCTCAAAATCTTGAAATATCGCCCGGATATGATAGTGTTACACACAGAGAGAATGTATAAATTTACGACCTTTAACTTTTACCTTTTGACCTCAAAATCAATAGGGGTCTTCATAAGGCCACGGGGAGTTGTCATGTAAAATTTCATTGCAATAGCTCAAATGGTTCTAGAGATACTGTGTGGAAAGGAAAGTGTTATAACAGACAGAATTTGTTTATTTATGACCTTGACCTTTGAATTTTTGACCACAAAATCAATAGGGTTCTTCTTTAGTCCATAGGGAGTAACTGTTGCTATGCTAAATTTCATTGCAAAAGCTCAGAGGGTTCTCGAGATATCGTGTGGAAACGAAAGCGTTCCAGACAGACAGAAAGATGGACGGACGGAAGGACAAACTCGGAAGAGGGGTTGTGGTTAAACATTAGCGTACGTTGAGAAAAAAGTTGGGTGGGGGATGTCATCCCCCCTACACAACCCAAACCTGATGCTACATGCCTGATTGGCATGGTTTTACTTTATAATTATGTGAGCTGTCATAGTGACATCTCTTTCATAAACAAGAATTATTGTGAGCAAGCTAATAAAATGATACCAACCCTCCTGCTATTGCATTAAATGTTTGTTTTATTACAAAAAGGTCTAAATACTAATTTGAAACCTTTTAAAATTTTGCAAGTGCAGATATACATACCAAAAATGACTATGACAAATACTCAAGTCATAGGTAGTAAAACCGTTGTGTTGAGCACAAACTTTCCCTTCATTCGAAGTTAAATATGTAAATGTGCCAAACTCATATAGTACACTTTTACTGCAGTGACCTTGAAAAAGCTATGTCCTTGAGTCAAGGGCAAACATGTTCAAATGAATTTTGGTCAAGGTAATGACAAACCTACAGCTTAAAAATAATTCCCAAGATAAAACCAAGTCTTTTCATTAGAATGTTACAGAATGGGCAAAGGTTGCACTTTTCTTCTATAAATGACCTTGAATTTGTTCAAATGACCTTGAGTCAAGTTTTTGACACATCTCTCGATCGCAAGCAATCTTAATATCAAGTACATGTATGAACTTTCAGTGGCACTTCATTGAAATGTTATGGACAAGTCAAAATTTTACATACATATGGATCGGTGAACAAGGTGATTCCTACCCCCCCCTTTTTTTTCCCAAGTTTCGTTTGTGAGGAATATAAAATTCCTTTTGAAACTGAATGTACATTTATTTATTAACAATAGTAAAGTTATGAGTATGCATTGATCAGAACCAATATGGCCAATATAATGGACACTGAACATGTATTTAAATTACCCCCACCCCTTCAAAAAAGCTTATATGCCAGATTTTCACACATTTTAACCATTTGTAACTTTTTTCTGCTAAAGTTGCCTGCAAATTTTATTGTATAGATATGACATATAGATAACCCCTAACAAGATCATACCATTCATTTTTCCAGCAGTGGTTGTAGATTTTGTGAATAAAGTGATACACATATGTATTTTTTTTCAAAATTAATAAGCATTGACGCCATGTTCTTTTCCCGTTGTCGTGGCAACAATATCACTACAGAAATTTTGTTTTTCCTATTTTTGGAGAATAAAGTAATTCCATCTTTTAACAAATAAAGTAACCAAAATACCTTATCTTATCACGTTCAGAAAACATATTCGTAGAAAAATGTCTAAAAATCATTGATTTTCATAAGGATTTATGAACCCGTTGCTAAGGAAATGAATTTCCTGGGATACCAGTCCCTTCATACGTTCGAAAAAAATTTTAATTGTGTTTTAGCATTAGGTAAGACAAAATCTTTCATATACCAAAAGCTTTTGAAAAAATAAAATTTTGACTTTCCATTCAATGCTCGATGCTTGCTGATTTTGACTCTTAACAACAATAGTATTTTGCGTAGACCGAGTCCGATCTTAAAATGACACTGTCAAAGTAAAAAAAAAAAGATAACGTTACAATTTACAAAAAATTAAATTTACAACTTATATAAGAAATAGTTAAATTTTCAAATGAATTGTATTTTAAAGCTAAATATATTCTGCTTTCATAAAAATCAAACAGTAAAAATACAGTTTAAAATTAGATCGAATGCCGAATGCATTAAGTACATGTATACGATCGCTCAGAAGATAGATGCACATTCTCCCCCTTTACAGAAATGAATAATGACACAGAAATAAATTTAAACTAAAAATACTCTATTTCTCACTGTTTCTTTTCTAAATAAATTAAGCATCACGGGAATATGCACATATATACGTGAATTTGTGAAATTAACCAAGTTTCTGTAAAATGAAAATTTAGTTACGTGGACGGTAATGGGTCAGTCAAAATAAAATCAAATAAACCTTTCTAACTTATGAAAACTAATATACCTGTATATAAATGTAAACAGTGACCCGTAGAACACGGGAGGTGTGCACTCTTTGGGCATATATTTTGCCACATACATGTACATGTAGTAGATCTTTCTTAAGATATTCTCCCCCCTCCCTGTTCCCACTTTTTGTTGCTGTAAGTTCGGGCACCGGCAAATTCTAGGATTTGGGCAGTTTATAATTTTCCTTTGCTTTTCAGATTACTCTTGGAAGTTACATGTACATGTACCCCTCCTTTTTCGGGGAGGGGGTGTTAAAATTAAAATTTGTTCAATAATCAATTTCAATTTGCCTCTCGGGTGAAATTAGGGTAACTTGACACCTTTTTATGAAACCATTACTACGGTTCTTATATACAAACTATAAAAGGAGCGCTTTGCCGGTCGTTGGATCAGCGTTTGTTTAAGACAATTTGAATTAATTTAGATTGAATAATTTTGTCTGATAAAATTAATTTGCAATTTGTGAAAATAAATTTTTTTTTCTGAATTACATTCCCGATGTTGAAGTGAGAGCGATCTATTTCGATGGATAGTTTGCTAACAACTTTGCTTACTTATTAATATTTTAAAAATATTTTTAAAAACATGCATGCGTGTGAGTTTTGGCAATATTTGAAATAATAAACATGCCGAATTGTATCACATGTATCAATTATTTGTAATTTCTAACAAAGACATGAAACGAAAACAACTTTTATATATGTTTCGGTTTTTTTTAGCAAGGTGGGAAACAAAGAAGATGGGCGCATTTAGCGAGTAATCTACAGGAATCATTTGTACGAAACATTTATGGTTTAAATGTCCATGATTTGGTTGGCTGAACATAGCTGGTCAGATTTTTCAAGCACGTCCATAGGTTTTTTTTTCATTTAGTTTGAAAGACCGTGTGAAATTGTAACATTTATGTCCGTTTTTCCTGGGGGTACTGTAACATATTAATGTTTCACAAAAAATAAACACCTATAATATTTAATGAATAGAAGATTAGATTCTGAATTGATTTCGATCGAGAACCAAACTGAACCAAAATTTATCTAATTCAAAATTTTAATACATAAGTACCTAAAATGAAACTGACAAAATAAATGATTGTTTGCATGAAAAAAAAATAACGCCCCATGCCAGGCTCGAACCAAAAACTTTTCGCTTCGAGTGCAGTGAACAGTTTACCCAACATACTGAGCTATCACCGCTACAGGTATACCCATAATTTTAAAAGGACAAAGAAGCACCGCATTCACACATTTGGATTTTTTGGGAAAAGTTAATTTTTCGTAGTCTCTGGGTCTTCTCTCCATCTTTTTAAAAAGTGTATTCGTTTCTTTGAATTTAAAAACACACGGATAACGTTTCAAAATCATGGAGAGAAGACCCAGAGATAGAAAATTTTTAGAAAAACGTGTCTAAAAATGTACCTTTTTGTACAAAATGTCTGATCTGACTAATTTTCAAGTTATTTTTTAGCTAATCAGAGATCAATCTCAGGAAAATATTTTCCTTTCCTGTTGCACAGGAACCCGATAAATAAAAAAAAATGTTAAAATTTCATGTGACATGTCGATAAAATTTTCACTTTTCAAGTACGCCCAGATTCCTGCCGAATGCCCATCAAAAGCGCCCACGTTCTTTAGATTTAAGTAAAATAAAACATTTACACCATTGTGGACTATGCTTTATAATCAAGATACACAGATGCAAGAATGAATAAAGATATTTGATACGTAAAATTTGATCCTAGTTATAATTATAGAAAGGAACTTTAGTCACTGGCAAATTGTATGCATATAGAATAGATATTGCAATAATGTGATCTACATGTATTTTCCATATATAATAACTTATTGTCTTTTTTCTCTTTCTTTCATTCTTTCTTTCTTTCTTTCTTTTTTTTCTTTTTTTTTTTTTTTTGAGGACTAAGACAAATAATGAAATATATTTGTATGTCGTTATGATCTTTCTTTCTTTTTCTCTCCGCTTCTCCCGCTCTCAAACAAATACAAATACACCTCCTTTGTTAGAAGAGTTCCAATAAGTTGGTCGTAACTCGCCAGTCGTAAGTGCTACGTCTACGATATGTTTTGTGAAACGCTCGTTTACGTGCACCTTTAGCAAACGTAAACGTTATCGTACGTTTACGATTTGCGATTTGTTAGTGAAACGGTCGCCAGATATGTTACAACTTCATAGAGAATTTGAAAACTTTATCAGTTTAATTCTTAATTGCTAATTTTTCTGTGTGGGGCTGTTTTTGTTTCTCTCAGAATAAAGTAACGATGGCTTTCTTTTTATTTTCTATAACCTCTATTTTAGTTTTTATGCTTATTACTTTTTGAATTAATATTGCTTTGCTTTTGTTAGTCCTTAAAATGAATGAATTAAATCTGTTTTTGCATTACTGTTATTGTTTTGTGACGTTTTACACTGGGAATAAAATAATGAATACAAACCCAGGTCCGTAATTACAAATAAAGCTTCTCATTGATCCACAAAGTGTAAAACCACAGCCAATCCTTGTAGATGTCGCCGAGACAAGCTGGAAAGGAATAAAAAAGAAATTTTATTCCAACTATAAGCTGCTAGGAGCACAATAGTAATACATCTATCCATGTAAAAGTCCATTTTTACACCTAAAGTTGACAGCAGGTAGATGACCAATAAAGAGCCATAAATATTCACCTAAAAATAAAATTATGAATAGCATATACTTCAGTTAAGAAATTACTTGAAACGAAAATGTCTCGAATTTTCTATTTTACTGCCCTTCTTTTCAATGAAACAAATAGTTTGAAAATTGCTTTGACCATCGAATCAAAATTTGATATTCAATGACCAAAACCAAAGGCTTACTATGAATGCTAAATGAGTCATTTTCTTTCTGTTGCTTGATACATATTCCGTTGTATCCATCTAACAACGATGTTTTGCTTCTACTAACAGTTAATTTTGATTTTATTTTGTTTTTTGGTTCGATATATAATTTAAATATTCTTGTGAGTGTTGTTTGAAAAACGACACAGTAAGGGCAAAAATACATATAACTGATATTTAGATCACCTGTACGTATCGACCAACTTGCGTCGGATCATTCCTTCCCCCTAATGTAAAGTCTTCTCCCTCGTCATGCCACAGGTTCACTATTTCCTCCCAGTCCTTGGATTCCGAAGTACTTCCAATATTTTGTCCAACGGAAAAACGACCTATACATAGACTTTTTAAAATTATTATACAAACTATTCATTTACTCAGTTCGTATAATTTTCATAAATGATTTTATATCGCATAAACCATTGTTTTTCATATAATAAAAGGTCGATTTCACTTTCCCGGAATGAAATATCAAATGTACTCTTGAGTTCACAAAATAAACTTAATAAGGCACCAAAGATGTCAGTAATCTAGGTAATTTTGTATTGATATTATTAAATGTTTCGGGGAGTTGGGGATGGAGAATTTGTGTTCTTTTTGTATAATAGTGTCAATAATTCTGCTGTCGTGTTCGATCTACTTACCTGGAATACTCCTTTGTCTTTTACCATCGTGCACGAGTCCCTTACAGGCATCAGCATATCTCTGGGCGACCATCGCTAGCTCATCGTCCCAGTACTGATAAGAAAATTAAATAAACGCTAATACAATAATTTCATGTCACCCTACCTAAATAATACATTTTAACTTATTCCAGTGTTAGTGTTTTTAAAGAGTGGAGGATAGGGTAAAAATATATAGTCATGTGTATTGATATTAGATGGAATAATTCACAGATATATGTCTAAAATATTTCTATCACATCAGTATGTAACTGGTCTACTGACCAATTTAGCCATGGCGACTGCTGCTGGTTGCACGGCCGCTCTGAATTCATTATGTTTATCGACAATCTTTCTCTTGTTTTCCTCTGATACACCTGAAAGAAAAAATACAGTTGTGTGAAATTGACCATTGTTCTCGGTTTTTCTATTCTTTATCTTTACTGAACGTGGGACATGAAAAAAAGAAAAATATAAAGTCTGAAATTAATCTTTAAAAAAAAACATTCGTTCGTAGTTTAAAGAAATGAAAAGAAATATGAAGTTTATCACAGATTCGATGTTTAACTGAATCGCTTTCTTTTGATTGACAACAATGCCTTTCCACAATGATCTCTCAAGACTCAGTAAAATTAGGAATAAAATACCTAAAATACCATTCAACCTAGCCATTAGAGCTATCTATGCACAGCAGAAAATTAGGAATAAAATACCTAAAACACCACTAAACCTAGCCATTAGGGCTATCTATGCACAGCAGAAAATTAGGAATAAAATACCTAAAACATCACTAAACCTAGCCATTAGGGCTATCTAAGCACAGAAGAAAATTAGGAATAAAATACCTAAAACACCACTTAACCTAGCCATTAGGGCTATCTAAGCACAGCAGAAAATTAGGAATAAAATACCTAAAACACCACTAAACCTAGCCATTAGGGCTATATATGCACAACAGAAAATTAGGAATTAAATAATTTATCTACCATACCTGATTGTGTAGCCATTGGAGATCTCTGTAGACAGGCAGAATGATTTGGAATAACCTGATACTTCTTTGCACAATTGGCCTGAAACAAAAACGGCAAAGACAATTATCATGCAATCATGTCAAATTCCTTTTTTTCAAAATGTTTTAAAGTCAAATAAACGGACATAAGTCAGGTTCAAAAGTCCATAAAACAAAACAAAATGGGAGCGGAGCAAACACGGACCTCTAAAACATCAGAGGTGGGATCAGGTGCCATGGAGGAGTGAGCATCCTCTGCTGACCAGTCGCAACCGGCTACATATCATGATCGGTAATCCAGCATCAATTCAGTGTGTAAATAATGGCCTAACAATCGGTATGAAATACGTCAGTCAGCATTTGACTCAATGATAATTGTCTTTGTTGACAAGGTCATAGTATTGACAATAGAACTGACGAAATGATGAAATTAAACGAGACTACTGATATTCTTGTTTCATCAAAAATAGACCTAGTATCAGAGATGCTCTTGCGTATCGAATCAACTTAAAGATATAAACGCCGTATGCAGGTGACGAAGATTTATAGTTGTTTCACAAGTAAGGGAGGTTGACGATTGAAAAGTTGAAGGCATCACATTTATCACAAAACTTGGTTGTAAGATTACCAGTTAAGTCTTTTTCAAGTAAAATATCCAAATATGAAACAGATGTGTAAGATCCAGTGGTATCTTTTATTTCAAGATCACCGCGATATATCTTATCGACATAAGAATTAAAATTACCATTGTTAATTGAAAATACATCGACGATATATCTAAATGTCGAATTGAAGGCTACAGCAAAAGTCTTCTTTTCACATATAAGATTTTGGACAAATTCTGCTTCATATGAATGAAGGATATGAAGATAACAAACAGTGTTCAATATCAAATTAAAGTCCATAAAACAATTCAAAATAGGAGCAAAGCAAACACGGACCTTCGAAACATCGGAGGTGGGATTAATTGCCATGGAGGAGTAAGCATCCCCTGCTGATCGGTCACACCCGCCGTGTGCTCATTGTCATGATCGTGAAATAACGGAAAAATCCGTCGTCAATTCAGTGTATAAATAATGAATACAAAAATAGGTCTGCTAATAACGGGACGTAACTGCTTAACAAGGCAATTCCAAAAGATTTATGGAAGACCTGGTCTTCAAAAACTACATCTATATTGTCAATAAGAAACTAAGAAAGATCTTTTTAATGTCAAGTTCAAAGTACTTGTGTGTACAATAAATAAAATGTATGGAGTAACAAACAGCATGCAAGCTCAAAAGTGCATAAAACAATATAAAATCGGAGCAGTACAAAAACGGACCTCCAAAAGTTTAGAGGTGGAATGGGGTGCCATGAAGGAGTAAACATCCCCTGCCGACTGGTCACACCAACCGTAAGCTCTTTGTCATGATTAGGAAATAACGGAAAAATTCAAATCGTCAATTCAGTGTGTTAATTATGGCCTAACAATTGGTATAAAAATTGTCAGTCAGCATTTAACTCAATGATAAATTGTGTTTGCTAACAAGGTTATTGTATCGACCATGGAATTTACGAAACAATGACTTTAAAGGAGACTGAGGATATTCTTGTTTCATCTACTTGTTCTTGAATAATTTACATCCATTATAAATTATTCATACGTAGAGCCTGCTCTTGTGTATAGAATCAAATGAGAGATATAAAATCCTTTGTAGAATAATTTTAAAATGACCGCTGACAAGGTACATGGAAGTTGTTTACGAGTTTCTTTTTTATTATCGATGATATCTTTAAAATGTATAAAAGAGTTCCGTTAGATAAGAGATCTTTTGTCATTTTTGAGAAAGGAGCACAAAACCGATGAGTTTTAAAAAGAGAAGTGATTAGAAAAGATGACTGCATAGGTCTTTTATTAGAGAAAAGATATTAACAGAAATTAGATAATTATTTTGATGAAAGCAGGTTCCAGGATCATGAACTTTACACTAACGTCAAATTTTTAATCGCCTGGAAAATGTTACTTAATTATTGAACTAATCTTTAATTTTGCAGATAACATATCTTTTTTTAAAGTAATAATTAAAAATATTTTAATTTGGTTTGTCAACTTGACTTAATCCAAATTCTTGTACAACATGAATATTTTTACTTTAAGCGTAAAATGATTCATGATCATCTGACCAGAAATCAAAATAGAGGACTGCTTGAGTGATTATGAAATACATACTGTAAAATCACTAATTTTCGTGGGGGTTAATTTTCGTTAATTTTGAGGTATGGAGAGAGCCACAAATTCATGACCACCACTAAATGTAAATTTTAATATGAATTATTACTCAACACTTCTCTAAGCACGAAATCAAATCCCCAGGCCACATATCAATAATTTTTTCTCAAACCTCAAAAATTTTGCCCCCGCGAAAATATGTCATTTTACAGAATACATGTATTCCCTGGATGAATAAAACACATCGAAGTAGACAATATAAAATTATGTCTGTATGAGCAATTATACGAAAAATACGTACCCAACTATTCAGGCGCTCATCGGCACTTGCAAATAATAGAAAACCTAGATATAAAAAGAAGACATTGTAGTTGGGCAACATATAATGTTAGATCAAATTTCCGATCTTATAAATGATGGATTAATGAATGAAAGAGAAGAAAAAAGAAAAATGATGATGATGCATTTTCTCGAAATAAGTAAATGTATAATTAAGTTTAATAATGTAACAAAACACGACAATCGATCATTTCATTATAAAACTTTCGACGCATTTTTATATTACTAACTTTCATTTGTGTTTTCACCTTATTGTTATAACTAATTAGTCATGTGAACTGACATGTTAAATATGAGTTATGTATCAGAAAGATGTATTGATTGTTCGTGTGAAAGCATGAAATCTCTTTATCTGAGAACAGACATATTTTGCTCTGTTTGTATGTTGTTTAACGTCACTCTTGAGAATTTTTCACCCATATGGAGATGCCATCACTTGCCAGTGTAATGCTGCAAATTTGGCCTATACACGAGCACAGACAGAAGAAATAATTGTAATTAAAAGTCATTTGTTGTTTTGGGAGGGTGAATGAAAAATTGTGACCATTTCAAAGTGAATCAAATCATACTCGTTTTTATTTCTAACAGAGATGGATGAGGAAGAAAAAGCGTAAAGTGTTTTTATAGCTACAATTATATATAAGCAGTTTATGAATTAAGTTTCAGAAAAATTTCTTATCATTGACATATTTCAAATTATATATATGATTTAACAAAATATTTGCTGTGGAAAATTCTATATCAAAAATTACTCAACATTCAATTTATTTAAATAAAATTGGATATAATCGAGGTTCTACCAATCAATTAAAATCCCTTACTTTTTAACCACTACGCTATCATTTCATAAAAGTGTATTTTCATTAATAGTTGTTCTTTGCTCCTTATCTTTGGTAATTAATGTATATTTAAGGTGTACTTTTAGTATTATCTTTTTTTTTAAATGAAATAAGGACCTCTCCTTCGGAAAAATTGTTGAAGCTTTATTAAGAAGGAATGATTTTTTGCCACCTAATGTGAATGTATAAAGTTAATTTACATGCAAAAAGTTTCAATCTTTATGGAATTGTTGCAATTTTTGGAGATTTAACACATTGTGAAATGAATGATAAATTTGAAAATTGTTAAAATTTACATTTAATTTTTCATTCTTTTATTTGTTGGACGAGAAGCAATTTGTTCGTGTATGTAGGTCTTCTTCGAAACAAACTTTAACTCTTAAACTGTATGAAGTGCACCTGTTGCAAGTAATTTGATTGACTTTCAAAGAAATAAAGAAAACACAAAAAAGGCTGTCTAGTACGTGAACCAAAAATAAAGACAAGGCCCTCAAAATTAGAACTTTTTACCGCATATCTTTTCAGGAATTTAAAAGTCCTTCTAAATCTATTGTTTCCAGAACACATTTTATTTCATGAAAAATATAAATTCACCTACTTAAATATATCAGCAACACCGTGCAGGTTTGTGGCCCCATTCTGGAAGTCTGAAGGCTGGAATGTGTTGGTTGGGTTAGGATAATAGAATTGTAATTTTTACTCAGAAGTCTCCTGTCCTTACAAAAACTGAAAAGCAGGGTTCTCCGTCCTATTACCTCGAATATAATGTGTTGACAGGTGAATTCAATGTATTTTATATCTTTGTTTGATTAACCATTACACTATTTATACCCATTTATCTTACTGAAGGTTAGAAGAAAAACAACAAATATTTTGGATTCTTTCAACTTTATTACGTTTTTGAATTGTTAATTATACGCTCCAAAATAAAAAAAATATACAAGGGCAATAGTTAATCAAAGGTGACATTGAATATATGGACTTTATAATTTATAGTTTACTTTCATCGTAATACATGATATATATTCATTTGTGAATAACTCATTTCAGTGTGATGTCAATACTATTACTCATGTCAGATCCATCAACAATATTATTAGTCCCCTACCGGTTAAACCGGAGGGGACTATAGGTTTCCTCTGAGTCTGTCCGTCTGTCTGACTAGGTGTCTCATTTCTGACTGTCAGTCTGTCCTACTTGATTTTCCACACTTTTTTCTAAATGCTTGCATATAACGAGCTGATTTTTGGTTTGTGAGTGTTTTTGATGAAATACAGATCGAGTTTGAATTTTGTTTCGCTTCATTCATTTTTCGAAGGAATTATGGTTTTTATTATTTCCTATAATTGGAATTACACTCGGGTTTGTGATGCAATGAATTAATGTTCTCAAATATAACATGAAAGGAATAAGCTAATACGAAATTTAGAACTATAAACCAAACTTCTCCAAAAGAGGTTGTCGCTTTGATGAAATAAAATGGCACCTTCAAAGAAATGAAATTTGGTGTTATTTGTGCAATAATATACAAAATGGAAATGAATTTTCTATAGACTGGAAGAATGCATACATGAGTAATTAAACATAGTATTCCAGGAGACTTTTTTGTTGCAAAAATGTGTCATACATCTGCTATGTACCTTTTTGATGAAATAAGATGAATGAACAACGTCTGCATGTAATACTAATAATGATAATACATGAAAATGAACATTCAAACATATAGCCTTAACTTATTAAGTATGCTCTTCTTGGGAATTTTCCTTTTCATTTTGTTTTTAATTTGAAAGTTTCAAGAACACAGTGGTAAATAGATAACTACATTTAGCAAAACCTGCAATGAAGTTCATCGTTTGTTAATCGCTGGGCATTGATCCATGACAATCACATAGCATTAAATTTTCTATGATCAGGTACATATATAGCGGTGCCGAGTTCTTATATTTGTTGACATTCTACTTTATTCTAAAATGCAAACCAAGCGACATTTTCTTATAAACAGAAAAAAAATCATATATTGTGTCATTATCTTTTGTCTTATATTTTTATTAAACTTAACAAGAAGTGTAACAAGTTTAAGTTATAAACTTGAGCAATAATCATTATTTGTACAATTCAGTAGAAAAGAAATATTGTTCGTATTTATAGAATAAACTGTAGAACAGCGAGGACAACCGTAGACAGGAACGATAACTTCGTATAAGCTTCCGGCCTAATCTGCCCACTTCCTGGCTGAAAGTTAACACCTGCATCTACAAAAGAAATGGTTACGTTGTTGTAAAAATGTCATAAAACGTACTTTTTGTCCGTTTATTATGATATTTAACAATAAATATTATATGAAAATAATATGTACTACGTATTTAAAATTAAAAGAAATTACAAAAATGCCAAAAAGCATTTTAAATACTCAACCAATACCATTTGAAGATTAATAAGTAAATAAAACTGAAAGTTTTTTTTTTCAAATACAATGTTTCTTAAACGCTTATGATTTACCAAATAAAATGTATTCTTTAAGTGAAATAAAAGAATTTCGGCATACAAAAGCGGTCAAGAACAGATTTATTCTCATAAAAAGGAAATATTTAATAATTTATACCATAAGAGTTTTCACTCTTACCAGAGTATCACTCAACCTTAATGATAATGTTTTAATGTACTTAAGGTAGGTCACTCGTCAGCTTTTGGGAAAAGCTCACACAGAACCTCTTACTTCAAAACTATTTATCAAAATTCAATTTTTATAACATATTTTATTTCAACAATGTTTATGTTGTAACATTCAACAAAAAAACTGCTCAGAAAGCTACAAAGAAGCAAGATTTGTGAGGGACTTTTTTGTGTTGGAAGGATATTTAGCAGATCTGCAAATCTGCACATTTATTAAATTTAGTATCTGGATTTTAAGCCCTACATACTTTTACTCGGAGAATATTTTCCATTATGATATTGCTAGGAATATTTAATATAGGTCTTAATTTATATTTTTAGAACAAGTCTTACACCTTCCTTCAACAAACTTTGCCAAGAAATGAAGATGTGTCAAATTAGTCAATATGAAATTAACACCATTTTTTGCCTGAAAATCACATATTTTGACCAATATTTCAAAATTAACATCACTGACCCCAACTTTTTCTTTCATTATTTTAAAGTACTCTGTACTTGTGACTGATGAGTAATTAAGTCGTAAAAAGCTTGATTTAAGAAAATGTTTCATTGCCTATTTAGTTTTTT